CATGCGCGCCTCCGCCTCGACCGGCGGGGAGCTTGGCCCATCTCAGACTAGCGTGAGGAAGCGAGGGAGACCGTCTCGATAACCACCCAATGTGACATTGGAGCTCATAGACACCGGAAGAGTTACCAGAAGCAAGGTGAAGAGACGGAGTACTGGGGATTTGAATACGTCGATAATGGAAGCGACAACAACGATCAACAAGAGGAAACGAGGAAGACCAAGAAGTGAAACGAAAACGGCCATGAAATCAACAAAAACGGACATGAAATCAACGGACGTTGGAGGTGTGGACCGGAGCAACCAACCAAACAAGCCTAACGGAAGAGAACAACGGCAGGCGTCGAAGGTGACAGAGCTAAGTGATCGGACATCGTCCATCAAGCGTCATTTGTCGGGCAGTGCTAGTTGTCGTAAGTTGTATAGTGATGATATCTTTTCGATCTTGACTCGTGGAAGGTCTAAGTTACATCTTGCTGTGTTAGAAGCTCTGTATATTCGTAAACTAGATCCAGAATTATGTGTCCAGAAGGAGAATGTGTTATCGTTGCAGTTGTTTGGTGTCACACCTCGTGAAAATGTGACAAGTGTTCCCTGATGTGTTCAACGTGTTTGTCTACAACTTGCAGCTGTTTGTTTTTGAGTTTTTAACACTTTAATCATTTTAACACCTATGTTGTGAAACCACAAGTTCTCGAGAGTGAAAGGACTAGGTCAAAAACTGCGTATAAACGATATTCTTGTAGAAGTCGGCAAGGAACATGTTTTTTTATTTTTTTTATTTTATTTTTACAAAGAAACACACACCATTTGACGGCACAAAGCAGCAAGGCAGCGATGAGACATATGGAATGGCAGGAGTGCGGGTTGACAGTGAGTATTGTTTTCACTAAAATGTGTACATGTACTACTCAGTTTTCTACTTGGGGTGGCAGTATTATTATTATTATTATTATTATTTATTCTTCTTTTACTAGGGAATTCCCAACAGGCGTCAGCGCCTTTTTACAGGGAACCCTAGGTATAATTTGATGGATGAGCGAAATTCAGCTGGTGAACTAGACATGCGGCAAGCCGGTGGAAGTGTATTCCACCTGGCAGCGCCCAAATAGGAAATTGCACTAAAGCCATATCGGGTGTTAGCGGGGGGCAGAACAAGAGCAGCAGAGACTTGGCCACGGGTGGTGGCTGCAGTGCGAGCACCATGGGCGCGCAAGGTAAAGCGGTCTCGCAGAAGAGGACTAGCAAGTCCATTCAGGCAGCGGTAAACAAATACATAGGTTTTGAAGTTGAGGCGTTTCTCAAGGGCGTACAAGTTAGTATGACTGTATAGAAGAGTGGTGGGAGTCATTCTATCCAACGAAAATATTCTCTTTAATGCTATGCGGCTGGCAGTAAGAAGCTTGTCATATAGGGCTTGTGATAAGCAATGAATATTCGCCTGAGCAGGACAAACTGAGTCTTGGACGGGTTTAACACCAGTCCCTTCTGATCTAGGTAGCGATCCAGAGCGGCAAGGTCAGCACTCAGCTGGGTTGTGATGATCTGGATGGACTTGTGCCTGATATAGAGTGTGATATCATCGGCATAAAGTTGATTTAATGCATGTTGGAAGCACTGTGGTGCATCACGGGTGTAAATGCAAAATAGCAATGGGCCGAGCACGGAGCCTTGTGGGACGCCTCTTGTGCAAGGGCGGGCCCCACTTAGCTGTTGTCCTACTCTTACTCGCTGGACGCGTCTGGTCAGGTAGCTTGCAAACCAAGCAAGTGCAGTGTCAGCAATGCCAAGCATCTTCAACTCGTCAATGAGCTCTTGATGCTTAGCCTTAGGCTGTGTATACATGACAACGCACCACCTCCTTTAGGTTTTGATCCTGCGTGCCTACATATGGGCTTTCTGGTTTGGTTCGAATTACACAACGAGAGACGATCGAAGCTGCATCTCAGTGTTTATGGTTGGTATTCTTTGTATCGTTTCAACGGTTTGTATCGTTATTGGTGGGTCTACGTAGGTGCGAAGAATCCGCAAAAGTTCAGGATGTGAGGAATGTTGTCGTGGGAGCGTCAATCTCAGTCAAGAAAATGCTCAGAAACACTTCTTATGACATCACTCCTCACATAATGAACATTGTCGGATCCTTCGCGTTCCGGGCAATGCATCGTAACCTTCATGTTTGTATTGTTTTCGCACGTTCACACGGAACGCGCAGAATACGACAATGTTCGATGCACAGAATCGAAACAAAAAGAGATCATGCTTGGATCAGCTCGGATCGTGTTGACGCACAAACAAGGAAAAGAAATTCGAGATTGATAGGGGAAAGGATATTTACCTGTATACTATAAACTTGGACACACGCGTGCAGCTGGTTTTAGAACTTGGCTGGGGCCCTTGTGCTTATGATCGTACTTTGCACACGAGAAAAAAGTGCTGCTTGTTGAAAGTTGATGCTGCAAATGACATTTGTAGCACACACTTTCAACAAAGGACACTTTCGATTGGTTCACCCACTACATTGTTACAAAATTATCCCCACTATTATGTACATGACTGTATTCTTGATTGTATTGATTCTTCAACATACACGCACGATTGAGAAAAACATTCAAAATCATCCTGTTTCATCCGTTTCCAATCATTCTGCTTGCATCCATGGAAAGAGTCGCTGGATACTACATGGGTTGGAAATTTGGAACTGCTCAAACAATCAGCTCGGGAAAATGTCCCTCCGGGAGGAAATAAGTGAGCTATCCGTCACGACTCACTATAGTTGTTTTGCGAAGCGAAAATTGGAATTGATTTTCGCGCTCGGCCTAGCGCATTTATTCTTATGTTCGCGCGAAGATTTTTTTGCCCATTTTTCTTTCTAAGCAAGTGCGCGATCCACGAAACTTTCTGCAAACGTTTGGCTTCCGTTCAACAAATTAATGTGTTGGGGACACAGATATGGCTTTATAACTAATGGAATTGAGTATAAAAAAATTATAAAAATTCGACTTTCATCCGGAACACACAATAGAAAGGTTCTGCAAAACGGAAATGTGTACAACTTTCGCTCTATGTCATGAAGTGAGAAACTTCGCAACTTTGGACGCGAAACTTGCAGGTAACGGGAAATGAACTTTGGTGGGAGATTTCGTGATATGAGGTCAGCACTACATTCGTTACGGAGCTACGAACTTTGTACTCCTATACAAGCATCGCTGTAACCTCCATACCTCACACTACCTTAGACAAGCTAGAGAGAATCCAGCGGAACGCCACACGATTATGCCTCCGCTAGGCCCGGGCGGATAATGCTAGTTATTGTGCGGGATAATGCTAATGGCAATGCCAGAAAAACTGTATCATAATGCTACTTACATACATGTATGTATAATGCTGCTGTTCCTCTGAAATGCCAGCAATTCACCAGTAGTAAGTATGGAAAATGGCTTGGTTTGGGCAGTATTGTGCACGTTTCGTAGGTCTACATGTACATTGTACGTAGGCGGCACGGAAAATGCTAGAAAATCAAGATCATAATACTAATTTTATGCTGCTATTGCTCCATAATGCCAGCAAAACCGCAATAGTATACAAAATAAGAAAAAAACAAAAGATAATAATGTAACTCGGATGGTGAGCCAATAATTATTAAATTATTGGTGGACAGTTAGACATATCTCGTAACATTATGTCCTTCTTCTTTTCACAATAATGATAATAATTAATTTGGACAATCCTATGCAAGTTGTTTATTGGATCTGTTATACGAGTCACAAGCAAATTAAAAGTATGGTCCATGACGGACCACAGCCCAGGTTAACCTTCCTCGTGTGGTGCAAGGGCTGTATATGGGCGGCTACCTCTCGCCGCAGCCAGTGACCGTCTGGATACCATGTCCGTGTGACATTTGGAGGTTCAGTGGCTCAGTAGCCACTGAACCTCCAAACGTCACAGACAGAAGCTCCTGGTGCTTGTGTGGAGGTGCATTTGTAGCGACCTCGCTGCATGACGTCAGCTCCCTCACCAGATAAACGCATCCGCATGAAACATTTCTTCCTCTTTGTTCTAAACAAAACAACAACAATTAGACAAAGTTGCCCTCTCCTTGGAGTTGTAATATATTAGGCCCCAGGGTGGTATGTCCCGGGATTCATCTGTCTCCCCGTGAACAGATACGACCTCTGCCATCTTGGGTGCCTAAACATTCACGGACGCGCCAACCCGGCCCAGGCATTGCTTGTAAGGTGTCGAGGAAGGGCAAATCGGCTAGACCGCAACCTTGGTCTCCAGCAACCAACCTCAAGAAATCCTGGAGGTCAAGGACCGCCATCGTAACGCTGCTTTGAGGAGCGAATTTTCACGGGACGTTTGTGCTTTACATGATCACTGCTATCTGATAACCCCTCTTCATTCTGTCAAGCTACAGCGAGAATTGGCCCTCGACCGTAAATCTGAACTGTCATGTATTCAGGAATGTTCGGACCGGCTCGGACTCAACATCACGGGGTACTATACGTGCTATTTTTGGTGGCATAGGCTAGGGACTCAACGCTGTCCCTACGACTCGTAGACTACGAGCGAGCGTTCTGATGATAATGAAGTGGTTCGGTGCACGACAGGTGCTGTACCAGCGTATGACAGGTGCCCTGGCATGACATGCAGTCAGAAACCTCATCTTGTCTCCTCTGCCATCAGTGTACACTCAGAATGTCAGCACATCGCTGTCCTATGACATTGCATGCTTGGCCATGGCTGCGGACGATTACCCAAACTGACAGCAGACGAGCCGGTCTACAAGTTAATGTGCACGATCTGTAGAATGCACTCTGTAATCAAAGGATGTCCTTAGTTCACGAATCTAATGGAATCCTAGCCCTGGACAGCAGGTCCTGTGTGTTGCCCATACCAATGCATTGAACGTTTAGGTCACTGCCAGCTGCATACGGGTAACTACACTCGTCGTGGACAGAAGGAGCAGCTGGAAACATAGCGCTCTTTGTGCCTCACAAGCGCGTTCCTTTCTAAATGAATCACCTTTTCGGCAATCAATGATTTTCTGAGTAGAGTCAAGTATTTGATAATACGGTATATTGGTCCATTTGACCACAAATCACAACCGGCCAGATCGTCCAGTTGGTAAGCTGTCTTTGTCTCCTGGGTTTGCGACATTTGTTTCGGCCATGGTAGGATCGCTGCTATCCAGGCACGCCCTGCAGGTGAGAAACCCTTTTGGCCCGCGAGTACACTTTGGCCAGTTTGTCCGGGTGCGTTGCCTGATATTTATTGTGTTTATAGCACGGCTTGGCTTAGTATGAGCTTAACCTTATGAAATCAGGGCTCGCCATCTTGGCCTGGGCATCGCAAAGCAGGGGTACTTAGGAGATTAGGAGCAGTTCAGTATCAACATGCTTGCATGACACTAACTACTTTAGTCTTGAATAACATTGATATCCGGAATGCTCCTCTGGAGTGTGAAGAGGTACAAATTGATACTCTACAATATCCTGTACCCAGAGGATCCCATTGAAAACACGGGACAGTAGCAGCGAGGCTACAGGTATATGTACATGTAGCTCTTGAAATCTAGCATGAATTAGACCACCCACCACTATACCACATTCGGTATTACTAGGTTCTTTTTTACAAACAAGGCCGGTCTAGGAAGCTGGAGGTAGAGTGCTCAATGTACGAATGTACAGAGCAGTGTACTACACACATACAACAGAGGCGAAAGGCTGTGTTAGCTGTAACTTAAAGTTTCACGCATCGGAGCGATCATCAGACAGGTGAATGCTGCTGTCTGATGATCGCTCCGATGCGTGAAACTTTAAGTTACAGCTAACACAGCCTTCCGCCTCTGTTGTGTGTGTAGGTTCTTTTCTAGAGGGCATCGGCGAATTACACTAATGCCTGCTTGAACATGTCCCCAAGTGCCAACAAGTGGTCTAGAATTAAGTTCTCCACTAAACAATACTTGCTGCAATTAAGACATTTTTTTAATCGCCAGAGGTAGTGCACTTACAGAAACCAAGTTCACAGCGAGAAGGCAAAAAAAGATGGCGCCTTCAGTCTCCAAATGCCATTTTCTACATTCACCAGCGCAATACCTGTATACTTGTTGCAAAGAAGACCTTTCAAGGCAACGTGAAGCGGAGTGATCGATGCACAAATAATAATTGATGTGCAGAGCAGTACACACAACAATGGAGGCGAAAGGCTGTGTAGCCGCATATACATGTTTCATTCATCTCAGCGAGCTTGCAACCTTGCACATCAATGGGCGCTTTCGATTGCACGCATTTCGGTCAATTCGAGAATTAGTTATTGTTGATGCACAGTTCGATTACACAAAAAGTGACAAATTTCGTCGTTAGAATTGATTTTATCCAATTCCGTCGAATCCGTCAATTCTGAAGAGAGGGCGGAATTTCTCTACTTCTCGCGCCAGAATTGCACAGTCGGTGTGTTAGCGCGCGAAGAGCCTCCCTGGCCGGCGTGTGCGCGATGCTGGGTCCACGCGCGCGCGATCGCGAGGGTGTACGTGATCTCTTTTTACGATTCATCAATTTTGTTTGTGACATGACATGAATAAAATGCGTTGTGAATTCCAGTCGTTCGTTTACAAGGCCGGAATCCGCTCATTCTGGTCATTCCAGAATTTAAAAAAAAAACAGTTCCAGTGTAGACGTGTAATCGAAAGCGCGCTAGCGCCCAATGAGTTGTCAAATAACACTGTGTAAAATCCCTCTTGAGGGATTTTATTATGCCACACACTGTGACACAGTCCTGTATTGCATGAAGTACTCGTACTTCATCAGGGCCTTGTGCTGTACAGACATCATGCACATAATTTTGAACCTCGTGTGCACTAGTTGCAAAGGCGAGTAGAGTCTACACGCATGTGAGATGTTTGTGCAGAAGGTTTTCGTTCTCCCCATCCTTCACTGTTGTTCAGCCGCTGACACTTCGTTCGGCGGCTTTCTTTCGAGTAATTACGCTGGCAGGGATTACTTCCTGGATGGTTTATTGCAGGTAGCGTAACGAAAAGGCATTATGACGGCGGTCCTTGTGTGCGTTCTTCCCACGAGTGTGGCTTCTGCGAGTGACTGGCCGATGACGAGTTCAATATTTGTTTGTTTCCCTAGTCGAAGCTGTATTCAAAACCACTTGATGGCGCTTGGGGCCATGCTGTAGCAGACTTTGATCGAGGTCTATCCCGTATGTCAGTACGCTCCCTTGCTGCTATTGGCCCTCGAAGATTGCCTACGTTATGGTCGCCAGTGGTAAAGCTCTATTGATTACCATGTATCTGGCAAGTAGCCAATAATCGTTTTCAATACGAGGTGAGTTGGCTCGGCGTGCGGACATAGAAATTTGGTTTGGCTTATCTATTTTGTAGCGAGAAGCTCGTGGATCTTGTTTCAGTGTGCATTTTAGTTAACCCTTTGTCTATGCAATAAATGTAGAGCCGAAAGATTTATTGCAATTACATGCCAGTACAAAAACCTATGTCCCGTAATTGCAATAAATCCTGAGGCTACTACATTTAATATACATATGTTGTTGACCTTCACTTTTCCCTAAAAAGGAGTATTTTATAAATACAGAGGCAGTAGGATTAGGTTCTGTTAAAGTACTCAATACCTGAATCAGGCAGAGCGGCGTACACAAAGGCATACAATGAAAACCTTGAGCAAACTCCGTTGTGAGTCGGAGTGTCATGGCTGAACTAATCATCAGACAACGATAGTGGAATAGCAGGCAGCGCTGGTACATCTAAGAAAGATAAGCGACGATATTGCTGACGCGGACCAAATATTAGTTTTAAAACATATAACTCGGATGGTATTATTACAAGGTGCGACAGAGCTGTCGGCCATTGAAGAACATGTTGAGTCACCTCCTCCATTACACTGCGCTCTTTACCCGACTAGACCCTCCTGCATACAACCATCACCATTGCGAGGACACTTCCGTAGACGATATTGATAAACTCCCTCAGACAGCTGTTTCGCTAATACATAGCTCATCAGTGAAGGTAGATGTTGAATGATTAAAATATAGACCAAACTGCTATTATATAAGGTTTCCACATACAAAACTGGCATAGCTGAGGTGAAAACACGGGAGGGGGAAAGTGTGAAATACTGTTGACACGCATGGGACATGCATGCAGCGTCAGAAATCCGACGCGGAAAATCAATCACTACGACTATCAATGAAGAAATAACGTGCCAGAATCAGTGTACTGCCTAGCTAGTGAGAGTCTGTGTATCGCACTTGTCCGAGCGCCATGAAGGCCTGCAAATGCACCTCACGACTCGCCGACGTCGACAGCCACAGCAGCCCCTGGGGCCTGACACTTTACTGGTCGCCCGTCGCGCCAAGACGCCTGGCAGTCACTAGGCTTCATGCCGCCGATGTTGTCCGCGAGCTACCTTGTTATCTGCCCATCAGCCACTGCCGCTGACACGCTTGGAGGCCCCGCGGCATTCACCCAGTATATGGTCGTCAGAGCTGTGTACAATAACGCTGGTAGAAACAAACAGTTGGTTGTATTGTATTGCGTCCTCCGCATTGTCCCTTGACTCGTCTTGTCGATGCTCTGACGCTAACGGCGCACGTATCATATTATTACAGGGTGCGACAGAGCTCTCGGCCATTGAAGAAAATGTTGAGTCACCTCCACCATTACACTGCGCTCTTTAGCCGACTAGACCCTCCTGCACACAACCATCACCATTGCGAGGACACTTCCGTAGACGATATTGATAAACTCCTTCGGACAGCTGTTTCGGTAATACATAGCGCATCAGTGAAGGTAGATGTTGAATGATTAAAATCTAGACCAAACTGCTATTAAATAAGGTTTCCACATACAAAACTGGCATAGCTGAGTTGATAACGCGGGAAAGGGAAAGTGTGAAATACTGTTGACGCGCATGGGACATGAATGCAGCGTCAGAAATTCGGTGCGTTATCACCTCAGCTAGTTTTGTATGTGGAAACCTTATAAAAAGCAGTTTGGTCTATATTTTAATCATTCAACATCTACCTTCACTGATGAGCTATGTATCAGCGAAACCGCTGTCTGAAGGAGTTTATCAATATCGTCTACGGAAGTGTCCTCGCAATGGTGATGGTTGTGTGCAGGAGGGTCTAGTCGGCTAAAGAGCGCAGTATATTGGTGGATTTGACTCAACTCGGATGGCGAGCCAATAAAATTATGGTGAAAAAAGGAGGACAAAATGTTACGAGTTATGACTAACTATCCACCAACGTAACCAGATCTGATACAGTCAGCGAGTGTGACAAAATGGCACAAAACTGACAAAGGAGAACTGAGACATTCGACGACCTGACATCTAGCTCCAACACTTCCCCAAGGTGCAAACCAACCACCTTCCAACTTGGGAGGCTCAGGTTCGGAAAGGTCCAAGAGGGGAAGGTAAGCGCAACGAAGAGGAGCACGAGATACGCATCACGGCAATAGAGAAGGCCGAAAGTTACTGGATGATGACGAAACTAGTAAAACTATTGGACAGACCGGCCTTACTACAACTCGACGACACAAAGCAACAGACCACCCAACTTGGGAGGCTCAAGTTTATGTAATGAACATAGAAGGGGAAGGTAAGCGAAGACGAATTGTGACAAACCGAAACGCCAACATCCTACTGAACTCCACTATCACGTATGATGGACTAGTTATGTACAATAACAAGTAGTTCCACACGACGTCCGTTTCGCCGTATAGGTCATGACGGCTCATCAGGTGTGCAAAGTTTAACTTAATTTTGTCGCACTCGCTGACTGTATGAGATCTGGTTACGTTGGGTAACATTTTGTCCTCCTTTTGGACCATAATTTAAAAAATATGCCTACAAAAAAGCTTTATTTGGGGGAGATTCTCCAATGGCATTGTGTGACGATGCACCCAAATGGAATATTCAAATTCCATATTTCAAACGCTACACTCCCAACTGTGATTCCTGATGAATGTTGTGTGAAAACAAGTTTGAGTCATTGTTTTCCATCGGTCTTTCCTTGCACCCTTTATTTCTTTTTCGATTTCTGTTGTTTTCACATCGTTTCCATCACGTGACATTGTATGATTTGTATAATTTGTATATTAAACGATTCCCCAGAGGCCGTTTGGGCCTATCAAGGGGGTCTCCATTCTGTACAGCTAAGATAAGAATATGAGACATTGTTAATTAATAAAAAATATAAAAAATTCGACGGGGTTCGCGTACAGGGCAGGTCAAGATCAAGGAGTCGTACAACTCCCTGGTCAAGAACCACCTTTGCGCTTCCGTGGGACGCCACCACCCCATGATCAGGCGTCAGATGTGGCTCCCAAACGGCGGGGGAGGATAGATCAGATCCACCAACCAGAGGCCAAAGGCCTCGATCCCAATTAATACAGTAACTCAATATCACTTGGGGTAGTCCTCCATGTTGTGATACTAAAAGAGTTGTCTCTTGATGTCGCCGATTACTTACATACCGTATCATTGACTTGTTGTACTTCCAATTATCAATTATTACGCACTTTGTAGCTCAGAAAACCTAGTTACATTTTGCCATGCTATTTGAAGGAGGGGTTCGAAGACATTCGCTCTACTAAGGAAGTTAGGGAGTTCGCCAAACAAACTATTATCATCTTCTTTGCCTGTTGTAAAAATGGCACATTGTCCGTGGCGTGGTGTTGCTGACAAACTGGTAATCATCTGAAGACCAAACATACCCTGAAGACACAACCGATTCGTAACAAGCAAGAAGATAAGTAACGGGAAACACAACCATGGGAAGAGTGATGGGTCCTTGGAGGAACCTGGGCTGGGGAGGCAAGCCAGTAATGCCGACCGGTGGTCTTGACTTCACCGAATCTTACTCATCGTGGGTTAAGAAAATCGAAAAGAAGTCAGGACAAGTGTACCATGTGGGCCAAAAGTCAACCGTATACTTGCCATGGTATATAACTCGTGCCAGTCAGCATTAACCATTCCAAAAGCTCCTCCATGTTCTGTGGTGCGGGTAAGGACCCTTCCCCTCCCCACCCTCCCTTCTCAAGGCTAGGCCTTATATTTCGTACCAAAAACGCTAAATACAGTGATCAATGAAATCCAGTCGCATTCCTCAAGTACACGCCGGACGTTCCGTAGCCCTAGACCTGCGAACACTGGGCTGCGAAATGATGCAAGGCGTAAACTTGAGTGATGCGACTGGATTTCATTGAGCAGCACTGTATTATGCATTAGGCGCCACAAGAAAATAGGCTGCTGGCTTGTCCGATGACTTATTCTTGCCAGAAAGGTAATGTTTTCCAAAGAGAATTTATTAAAGGGCCATGGTTTTGTTCCAAGTCCGAGTTATAGTTTTTCAAAAGTCGTGTTAACGCGAAGCCCGTAGTTGAAGAAGAATTTTGGGGCCGGTCTGGCATTTTCGATTTTTTTCCCCAGGAAAAATGCCTTTAGTTACGATCCCCCGCCACCCACCAACCCACTCGCTGGAACGATGAATTAATTGAATTAATACGTAAATTAACTGTACATGTGATATGTTTCAGCTATGAATGTTTTCCTCGACCCACCTACCCGTAAAATAAACATTTCCATCGGGTGAAAACAATATTTAATTACCTCATTGCCCCCTTTGTACTGGGACAACTTTTTTTCGTTTTTTTTTTACAAAATACACAACTCACCGGCAGGCACATGGGGCTAGCATGGGGTGAGATGGTGCTGGTGGGGCTTGCCATGCTGCAACAGTTCAGTTTCACAATTGTGCAGTTTGTTTCTGTGTAAATGTCCAGGTGCACGGCGCTGTCCTCCTGGTGGCAGTGCTGTTCCTCAAGCAATGCAGCTCTCAGGTATGTGCCCCTTGTACCTGCGCTGCTGACACGGCTGACTGCACGAGTAAGTCGGTGACAACGGTTCCATCGACCGTGCCAAGTACCATCAAGCGCTTGTAAGTACAAGTGTTCCCTAAGGCTGGCGATGAAGGATGCCTTATGATGCTGATGGTACTGATAACACACAATGAACTAGTGACTTCAGAAGCCAACCGAGAGCACATTACATTTTATGACAGCGCGGTTACATTAAATATTCCCCTAAAAATGTGGTTATGGTATAGAAATGTTCTTATAAACAACGTCAAGCTATTCTGGCATACCTTAATGTGTCTAACCACCTATTTCATTATAACAGTCATGTGCTATTGCGCAGCTAAACAATTTTTACGCCGTTAGTCAAGTCTTGAAAAAAGTGCCAGCACCGACGCAACCCAGACAGTCATGTAAAGCCAATTTAGGTTGCATTTGTTCGGTCATTCCCGAATGGGCATGGAATGACGTCGGTACCCATCGCGGAATCGGAACGAGCGTAGCAAACAAACGCGCTGGCATGGATTCGAGAATCTGGCAAAAGTTTTGCGCCACTCTGGAAACGTATTACCTGTTGTTTGCACAAATAAATTGCAGCCTTGCGAAGACTATGCCAGTCCTGGTAGTTGCCATATGCTTCCGTACGTTTCTGCATGTCCCTACGACAGTCATGATGAAGGAGCGGCCAAACACGGCGTAGATCAACAAGCGATCGTAACTAGGGTGCCTGCAGGCGGCGTTTGGCCGCTACTTCATTATGCTATACAACCCCGTATCAGTCACAGAAACGTCTTGAGCTCAGAGACGACGCACTGTTGTAAGAAGAAGTGAAGTGGCAGGCTCGGGGCCTCTTTGGGTCACTTTGTTCTGGCTCGCCTCCCTGTGATTCTAGAGGCCCTGCTCGACGACGATGAAGAGCTGAGATGCGAGGGCATATTTCCAGTTCATCAACGATCCCGGGCGAACATTTCTCAGGCAGCGAAGGGTCGAAATACCACGAACAAGTTACTATGCCGTCCCCGAGGTTACAGTACCTGCCTATACCCTGGACGATGTCCGCCAACATTTCTGTATATCGATAATCGCGTTCAGTGAAGTTTTGTTGGGGAGGTATGCAGCAACGACGAACTTCACGAAGGGCCTCCGCACATTTTCATTCCACTCGGAATGAGACCTCATTCCCCTTTTTCTTAGGAATCGCCAGAATCAATTCCTCCCCCTTCATTCCGCGACCGGAATCGGAATTGCACCGAACAAACGCTGTCCAGTGCATCAAACAAACGCTCCGGAATCAAAACACGGCGGAATGACTTTGGAATGGTGGCGGAATGGCACCGAACAAACGCAACCTTAGTAACCGAACGCTGTCGTTCCCTTCCCATCACTTGTACTCAGCCATCTTAACAATGACGATGTTATACAAATTGGGCATTCTCTCCAACACACCACCCTGCAGGTTCGTTTGCCGGGAACGGATGACATTCAGTTTGAAACTAACAGAGGCAACCCACAGGGGACTCATTATCTCCGGGGTTAACCCGTTGCCGGTCTAACTCAATGTATGTGAGGGGTGGTCACGCAAATACATGTACACACAACCAGCAATAACTCAAGAACCATGTGATGTAGGTATGGGTAAACCATATATTTTCAAAATCTGTATGCCAGAACGCGTCCAGAAAATTCAAATATGACTAGGTCCAAGCAAGGATAGGGCCCATGGTAGCCCTTCAAGTTGAGAGAAAATACAATTGCGAATGAAATACACGACTTTCACAGCACGAAGGGCATACCAAGTTCGTGATGGAGCTGAAGTCGTACGATAAACAATCAGGTAAGGGCTACGTCTTTACAAGAAATGTAGGCTCTCTACAATACCGCCATTGAACACCAACACCTCGCCATCGGCGATACGCCAGCAGCAGCAATTCCCATTCCACGATATCGCAGCTTCGGTTTGTTCATCTCAGCGCTGCTCGCGTCAGATTCACTCTCGCTCAGATGAGCACTCAGGCGCGAGCTTACGCATGCCGTGATTCTCACGGCCAGGCGAATCAGCTGATCACACCTGACGAGTCCTTGTGACAGTCGCTGTCGCCGTGTCGGCAGCAAGAAGGCTTCCTCTCTGTTTGGAGAATTTTGTTTCTTCATTCGTGGACGATATATTTTTGAACTAGCAGGACTCAACAGAGCTTTTTTTCTCAACACACTACACTGCAAAACCTCCCGGGAGATCCAGGCTGGACTGGTGGTATTACTGCTCTCAGACCGCTTGTCAAACACGGCCCCAAGAGATGCACTCGCATTCTCTAAATGCACGCATGGCGGATGGTCGTCTTTTCCAATTTCAACAAACTTCAGTCGATCGATACGGCAAAAATTTGTATGGTAAGCATGGTTGTTTTGTACATCGTCAGAAAGCCTTGGACCTCAGCTACGCGTAGAGCGCCATTTTAGCTGTCTCTTAGCAACAAGACCCCAAAAAAATGAGGGCCAAACGTACCGATACTATAGTATCGGTTCGCTTATGGTAGACCGGTAAAGGGTTAATCATCATGTACCTAGAAGCAGCCCTGCGAGACGTGTGAAATATCTTACCGATTCGGCCACAATTCGACATCGCCTTGCACGTTCCCACAGACACATTATATGCTAATGATGTTGGCTTTCTGTCATCCAAGGAAACTGACCTCCAATCTTGAAACCTTGGCATTGGGGACACCGTGGAGCAATGGGATTTGACAGTTAACTCCGCTAAGATAGAATTCACACCTATAGAGAGGGTCAGTGACTGTATTGCAGAGGAATGGAGGCTGATACGGAGTGGCATGATGGTATAAAACCCCTGATCAAAAGATAACAAAAAAACTCGATATTGCATGTACCAACTATGCTGAGCGATATTGTCTGCAACATCATCATGTAGGGAACTTTTGCTTGATTGATGAGTGGCATGATCCTTGAAGGGGCCATGATATTATTATTTTTTCTCTGTCCTGTGCAGGATCTTGCAAAACAATCCAATTGACCTGAGCAGCACTAACTTCGGCCGGTTCAAAGATCTTGAGTACCTGTGAGTTGTATTCATGTGTTATAGACATTTGTTGTTGAAATAGCAATGCTGTCTGTTGCAGGAATTATCTAGGTTCAACAATGGCCTTTTTTGTACAACTCTTGACCCGTTTATAGCGCAAGAAGCCACATACATCCACAAGCATGCTTCCCATTCTTACTGCATCACAAAGCACTATTGTCTATATTTCACGTGTTCTGCGATAGTTGATGCCAACATATACGAGAGAAATGCAAAACAGTAGAAACAAAGCAGAAACAAACGGTTGACACCTCGTCAATGTTTTTAAGAAAGCTGGTAATCCGTATAATAACGCGTTTGGCATACTGATAATTTTGATTGGTGCCTGCTGTTGGGGCTTGAGGAGGTACCTTCCACCGCCAGGCAAACAAAATGTTCCCTCAGGTGACAAGTATTCTGTTTTTTCGACGTACCCTGAATGATAACTTTTCTATTTCGGCATTCCCCTTTCTTGTATTCTGCTATTGAATGCAGTGATCTTCGTAATACATTTCTGACGAGCGTGCCAGAGGCACAGTTCCTGACCAACACAAAGCTGAAGACTCTGTAAGTAGCCAACACACAGTCCCCTGTTTCACGGAATACATGGGTTTGTAACCAGAGTCTGCATGCCTTCCATTTAGAGAGGCAAAGCATTCATACCTTGAGATTCAACTGACTTCAATTCTAACGAAAGGCGACTCCATGGAAAGCTGCTGCGAATTGCTTTTCAAATGTTGTGCTGCTTTTGCCTTTCTTTCTCATGCATTTGAGTGTACAGAGTGTTATTTCCTGGGTCAGTGGCGACTTGGGACTGGTGTGTTGCGTCATTCATACCATTATTAGCCGAAGAACAACTTAGTGTGCAGAAAGCATTGTGTGGTAATTGTGATCTGCTTTTGTTGGTCAGAGCCTTGGATGAGAATCTGCTGACCTCTCTGCCAGCCAAGCTTCTTCACAGCCTCACTGGCCTCAAACTTCTGTGAGTTCAACATTGCCCATATTAAGTGGAGTGGAAGCTGTGCTTGATGACTAAACATGATTTGGCAGGTGTCCCAACACATGACTTATCATGTGTCCCGTCACATGGCTGGTAATGTGTCCCATCACATGACTGATAATGTGTCCCGTCACATGACTGATAATGTGTCCTGTCACATGACCTATCCTTTGTCCAATTGCATAACCTACCATGTGTCCAGTCAAATAACCTATCTTGTGTCCAGACACAAGACTTACCATTCGACCAGAGATGCTGTACTAGGTCTTTTGTTAAATCACTTGGAAAGCCACATGGCATGTTTTCCTACCGGTCACGTTATGAATTAGGGAAGTGGCAACCACAAGAGCCAAATTCAAGTGCATGGAGGTCAAATCGACTCTCCTTTACTCTTGCTAGATAGTGCCACCAATTCACTAAAGCCCTGAAAAAGGGTACATTTAACTACTTGTAGAAACATGCCAATCAGAAAACAGCCTCAGACACCCGAGTAGTATGAATCTTGCATCAACCAAATTTAAACAGGACGGTGTTTTTTCCTCCTTGCATTGAACTTATCAAGACTATTTGCTCTCTTGTTTCAGCTCTGTCGCAATATCTAGTTCTTTTTTTGTTTGTTTCAGTGGGCTACGTGTAAACAGGTTAAAAACATTCCCTGTGGACTTCTTCAAAAACAACGTGCTTATGGAAACTCTGTAAGTACTAAGATTTGCTTTACAAGCACTCCCTGCACAAGCAACATTGCATACACCCTGGTTTTTTAAATGCAAACATTACGGCCCGTTCATTACGTTCAAAGCATTAAGAGAGCATGTCTGAGAATACGAAAGTACTGTCGTGGACATGGAAATCCAGCCGATTGACCAGGGCCGGCGCCCTCAGCGCGTACAGAACGTTGCATGCAGTGCACGATCATGTTGATCTGATGCGACCAGCGCGCTGCAGCGCATACTAATTATGTGTGTATTGGTTACCCACGGCTGCTTGGCCAGCACCCTGGGGCCGCTGGACGTGCGACTGGATTTCCATGTCCACGACAGTACATGTGCAAGTGGATCTGTCGATTTCCTTCAGAATTTGTGAGTAGGTTCCCTTTGGGGTGTAGATCGACTGTGAAAAGCCCGCAGAAACGTTCGGAAGGGAACCTTGAAACTTGCATACCCTCAAAATGGACGAAAATCACGTTTTTATGGGTCTACAAACGAGTCACACCACAACGTACACGAACAACTTATGGGCAAAATTCCATCACGCAAACATTGCCTCACCTTAGAAGAGTTCCTGGAGCAGTCTAGCTTAGCCACACCAGCATCCCAGAAGACGAGGGCCATCACCACTTGATGCCCCAAATGATCGTCTTGAAAATTGCAATTCACAAGCGCTGATTAAACCACGAGCTACGTCCTCAAATAGCAAGAACTATACACCGGTAGATAGTAGAACACCTCTTCTAGCACTGAGGATATATCCCCCATATTCATTTTCCGATTTTTTTAAAATAAACTTTTCGAATTTTTCCACTCCATCGTGCTGAAATACGGCCAAACTCATACCTGCACAGGAAAGGTCGCCCTTCCGTGACGTCTCCTCAGCAATTATTCTTCCAACACTACTCCTAATGCTGCAGAACTACGCGTATTGTTGAATCTGACAAGGAAAAGCAGCGGTGATCATTTGTGATCATAGAGCGCCAATTTTCTTGGCAACCTTGGTGACCACATAGTTTACATGGGTGTCCCAATCTAGGCAATTGTTAAGTTGAACATTGGTTAGCTAGGTGCGGCACATTCTTGTAGATGCCAGGACTCCAGTTCACCCGTCAGGCGAAATTACTGGGCAGTCGGCGTCACGCATTTTTCACAAAAAAATTGCGTTTCACCTGCTGGGAGAGTATGCGTGTGCTAGAATCTCATCCTGAGCCCGTTTTTTTCTTCTTCTTTTCAGCGTTTCACCTGCTGGGAGAGTATGCGTGTACTCGAGTCTCATCCTGAGCACGTTTTTCTTTCTTTTTTTCAGCTCCACTATAGCTGTATTTTTCATTGCAAAGCCATCCTCGATTGTTGTGTTCGTTGTTCAAACAAAGTGGACATTCAATCATGAAGGCAGAGGACATAGGAGCCTGATTGGAGTTTCTCGTGGCATAAGACGGCCACACAGAGACACGTCAGGCGAAATAGCACGTCATAGTACATTTGAGATCAGCGGGAAGAATATGACGACGTCCACTAATTTAGTATCTGTGCACACGAATCTGCTGTGTGTCAGCTATGATATAATCTTCTGTGGTTCCATGCCTAGCAGGTACGTCTGAACCGCCCTGCAAAGTTTGAATGACGTAGGTTGAGCGATCGCTCCGCGAAACATACTTTTTGAAATTCTCTTCATAGTATATCTTCCACCATTGAAATTTCGAATTTCTTGCTGAGAGGGGTGGCTTGCAACCTCGATATGGCTTGTTTCAGGCATGCTTTGGAGCCATCTTCTGTTGAAGTAGTAGATCCCCGCAACTGCTACAACAAAAAATGATTCGATCTGAGAAAGGGTGAGACCGCGAATCTTGGTTGAATATTGAGTATTTCAAGCCTTTTCACGACGAAGATGGAGTTCTTTTTGGAGATGGACGTCGTCGCGGCAAAGGACATGGTGTCCGACTTCTGGCGTCGGGTGAAGCCAGGGATCATGTGTCCAGTCAGGTCGGCAGCCTAAAGGTCGGTAAGCTTGTGTTTGGATCCCGTTCGGCTCGATGTGGTAGATCACAAACAATTTGATATCACACAAATTGATCTCAGCATCGTGCGTACGGTATTTTATGTTCAGAAAATCCCAAAGTGTCTCTGTGTGGCCGTCTTATGCCACGAGAAACTCCAATCAGGCTCCTATATCCTCTGCCTTCATGATTGAATGTCCACTTCGTTTGAACAACGAACACAACAATCGAGGACGGCTTTGCAATGAAAAATACAGCTATACTGGAGCTGAAAAAAAAGAAAGAAAAAACGTGCTCAGGACGAGACTCGAGTACACGCATACTCTCCCAGCAGGTGAAACGCAAATTTTGTGAAAAATGCGTGTCGCCGACTGACCAGTAATTTCGCCTGACGACTTTGCGATTTTCTGAATATAAAATACTGTACGCACGATGCTGAGATCAATTTGTGCAATATCAAATTGTTTGTGATCTACCACATCGAGCCGAACGGGATCCAAACACAAGCTTACCGACGGTTAGGCTGCCGACCTGACTGGACACATGATCCCTGGCTTCACCAGACGCCAAAAGTCGGACACCATGTCCTTTGCCGCGACGTCCATCTCCAAAAAGAACTCCATCTTCGTCGTGAAAAGGCTTGAAATACTCGATATTCAACCGAGATTCGCGGTCTCACCCTTTCTCAGATCGAATCATTTTTTGTTGTAGCAGTTGCAGGGCAGATCCCGCCACTACTTCAACAGGGGATGTCTCCAAAGCATGCCTGGAACAAGCCATATCGAGGTTGCAAGCCACCCCTCTCAGCAAGAAATTCGAAATTTCAATGGTGGAAGATATACTATGAAGAGAGTTTCAAAAAGTATGTTTCGCGGAGCGATCGCTCAACCTACGTCATTCAAACTTTGCAGGATGGTTCAGACGTACATGCTAGGCTTGGAACCACAGGGGATGATGCCATAGCTGACACACAGAGTCACACACACAGCAGATTTTTGTGCACAGATACTAAATTAGTGGACGTCGTCATCTTCTTCCCGCTGATCTCAAATGTACTATGACGTGCTACTTCGCCTGACGAGTACCTCACGGATATATCTTGGTTGACACGCACCCGCGGATTGAGAAAAAATGACTAAGATGGCCTGGAGAAAGGACATCTTCTCCGCATGTCTTTCCGGGCATCAAACAACAAGATTCGCTTCGGCACTGGCCCTTTGCTGCACATCCTAGACCAGGGAGTCATAAAATACCGGTATTTTACGACTTGACTGTAGATCGCTGTACATCAATCAGCATGAACTCGGCTGCGTAGCCGCTATGACTGCACAGACTCTGGCCTAGCAACCGTCGCCATTTTTTCAAAATGGTGGTTAACGCTTTTTGAATTTTGCATGGTCGTGGTGAGCCCTGACATACGTGCGTGCAAGGCAAGTAACAAGTGGACTTTACCAAGGTGACTCAGTTATCACCTGAGCCGTGATCAACTTGATTTGGCATTCTTGTGTCACGAGCCATGTGAGTTCACCATACCTCTTCAGCTCTTGTAATAAAAAAATTCAAAAACTGCTCGCGGGACTTCAGTCACTTTTGCATCAACTTGCGCAACGAAAATTGTTGGTGGAGGAGGGAGAAGGTTGTCGTTTAGAGTGACAAGTGATCACCGCTGCTTTTCCTTGTCAGAGTCAACAATACACTTTGTTTGTTTTCCGAGGACGGAAAATTATTTGAGAGGGGAGCAGTGTAGTAGACGGACTTTCTACCGTATAGTACGTTATTTTGTGTACGTCGCGTGTACATCATGTTGGCGCATGCGCGTGTTGCTGTAGTATGAAAAGCAGTCTTTGTCTTGAGTTCTTCTTGTCTAGTTGTGTTTCGTCGTCGTGTCAATAAACAGTCTTCTAAATGTAGTTATCGTCGTCCCTTGGAATAAGTGTGGAGATGGCACGGGACTGGGAGCAGGTGGAGAAAGGCCAGTTACTACAACTTTGTTCTGCAGCATTGGGAGTAGTGTTGGAGTAGAAATTGCTGAGAAGACGTCGCGAAGGGGCGAGCTTTCCTGCGCAGGTATGAGGTTGGCCGTATTTCAGCATGGTGGAGTGGGCGAATTCAAAAAAGTTTATTTCAAGAAAACCGATAATGAAGATGGGGTGCATGCCCTCAGTGATAGAAAAGGTGTTCTACTATCTGTCAGTGTTTAGTTCGGTGTATAATTCTTGCTATTTGAGATTCAAATTTGAGATTCAAATCACAATTTATTACATTACACCAGATTTTCCCTTTTCGGCCCTGGCCCATCATCAGTGTAATAAGTATGTACTGTAGCCGTGTAGCGGACATGGAAATCCAGTCGATTGACCGTGGCCGGCGCCCTCAGCGCTCACAGACCGCTGCGCGCAATGCACATGTTGATCCGATGCGACCAGCGCATAAAAATGCATGTGTGTACCGCTTATCCACGGCTGCACGGCCAGCGCCCCGGGGCCGCTAAACGTGCGACCGGATTTCCATGTCCACGACAGTAGTATATGTACAATTTTTTAATAACTATTTTAATAGGGGAACCCTACAGACGGTGTCATCTTATTACAGGGAACCCTGAATGAAAAAAATCATTAACCTGATGATGGGCCAGGCCCGACAATTTGGTATATTTAAATGTAAATTTGAACTTGAATTTCAGTGAAGAGACCGTTTTTTGGAGTTTGGAGTTGAGAACTGAAGTTTCTAAATGGGTGCGGATGATGGCGTCAGTATTACAAGTCAAATGTTATTTTAAAAAAATGCCATCGTGGGCTGAGGGATGGTCAAATAGCAAGAAGACATTGGGTCTGTGGGGACTGCCCTAATAAATTTGAATAAATAATGATAATAATATTCATAGCTTTGAGGGAAGGACACAAAATTAATAACAATAATAATTGCTCAATCTGCGGACAGCATGCTGTTTCGTTCTTTGTGAAGTCGTCAGCGCAGCACACCTACCTCAACCAAAAAGGAAACGACTTGCCACCCGTTTGCCCGGCATTGATGGGCCAGATCCACATACCGCCTGTCCTTCCGCGAGTTACTGACACTGAATCTGTCTTCACGCAGAAACTGTCAGCTCCATCCAGAATACAATCCTACGACTCGTAGAGTACAGAACTATATTCGGATTTAGGGTGGTACGTGCAACACAGCTAGGGAAAAGGAAGTGGGGTAGTGTAAGTGTGCTATTACTTTCTTATTATTATTTTATTTAAAGGATATCCCAGAGGCGATGGCCTGTCGAGGGGATCTCCTGATGCAAATCATGCAATAGAAATAAACAGTGAGGAAAACTACACGTGTTACAGTATATGCTACATAATGAGCAATAAACACAGGGCTGTGTTGTTCAAAATAGAACAGTTAGTTTAAATGTCCAGGGATATACCACTACAGTAAAATTTAGACCTTTTCACGTGCAAGCGATATTGCTGCTGAAATTTAGAAAGTGAATCTTGGGATGTCAGCCTTGGTGGAAGGCAGTTCCACAGCCTTCCGATGATGATGTCGCCGTTCCTGGCTGGGTAAATATTCTAGTTGTTGTCACTGACTGAATTCTTCTGTGTAGTTATATGGATGCAAACAATTTCACCTCAATTCCTTATTCAATATTTCATGGCCTGAACCTGGATTATCTATACTACGCAACTACGTAAGTACCTTACAGCTACTGTAAAGGCAGACATTTTCGGTGGTGTAATTTTGCAAATGAGGAACTTTGGCCGATCTCGAAACGAAACTTTTCGCCGTCATTACGGAGGATTAGCAAGACGAAATTTGCGTTCGCAAACATTTTTCAGTTCACGAACTGGATTGCGAACTTTCGCATTTTTCGTTCGGAAAAGTAGTCGGAACACGAATCACGGATTCGTGTCAGGGCAGTCATACATTTACCACGCTGTACTGTCTGTACACAATGGACGACGTGTCAACGTCATGCATGTGCGAATTTTGTTTGCTAATCCTTCTCATAACGCGAATTCCGTCACTGAGTTCGACTTTTCTTGGAGAGCGAACGCGAACGCGAATTTCATCTTGCTAATCCTCCGTATTAAACTTTGGCCGATTGGAGTTTTCCAAAAGAAATCGATCGGTATGTTTTGCTCTCACATGCATCCACTGCTCAATCATGCATAATTTGCCTCTATGACAAACTTTGGCCTGCAATTTACTTTGGCCGGTTGGTACCAAGCGGCGAAATCAGCGAAATTAAATCGCCAGCGACAATTATGAAGTTGATTGTTCCAACCAGGAACACACGCTTCTTGCCGAACTTGAAACTTGACAGACTCACGACTGCCATCCGGAGCACACGAGGAGCAAGTCGCACCTTCCACTCGGCAAACCTTCTAAGTTAGCGAAATTCGTCAGGCGAAATTACTGGTCAGTCGGCGACACGCATTTTTCGCAAAAAAACTTGCGTTTCACCTGCTGGGAGAGTATGCGTGTACTCGAGTCTCATCCTGAGCACGTTTTTTATTCTTTTTTTCAGCTCCAGTATAGCTGTATTTTTCATTGCAAAGCCGTCCTCGATTGTTGTGTTCGTTGTTCAAACGAAGTGGACATTCAATCATGAAGGCAGAGGACATAGGAGCCTGATTGGAGTTTCTCGTGGCATAGGACGGCCACACAGAGACACTTTGGGATTTTCTGAAAATAAAATACCGTACGCACGATGCTGAGATCAATTTGTGCGATATCAATTTTTTTGTGATCTACCACATCGAGCAGAACGGGATCCAAACACAAGCTTACCGACGGTTAGGCTGCCGACCTGACTGGACAAATGATCCCTGGCTTCACCAGACGCCAGAAGTCGGACACCATGTCCTTTGCCGCGACGTCCATCTCCAAAAAGAACTCAATCTTCGTCGTGAAAAGGCTTGAAATACTCAATATTCAACCGAGATTCGCGGTCTCACCCTTTCTCAGATCGAATCATTTTTTGTTGTAGCAGTTGCAGGGCAGATCCCTGCCACTACTTCAACAGGCGATGGCTCCAAAGCATGCCTGGCAAAGCATGCCATATCGAGGTTGCAAGCCACCCCTCTCAGCAAATAATTCGAAGAAATTCGAAATTTCAATGGTGGAAGATATACTATGAAGAGAATTTCAAAAAGTATGTTTCGCGGAGCGATCGCTCAACCTACGTCATTCAAACTTTGTAGGATGGTTTAGACGTACATGCTAGGCATGGAACCACAGGCGATGATGCCATAGCTGACACACAGAGTAACACACACAGCAGATTCGTTTGCACAGATACTAAATTAGTGGACGTCGTCATCTTCTTCCCGCTGATCTGGAATGTACTGTGACGTGGTATTTCGCCTGACGAGTTGATTTTAATACAGTAATCAGATTTTCTGGCCTTTTTCTTGGCTTTTTGTAGTAATACATTGACCTGTTGAGCCAATGAGGACGGCCGAATGTATGGTTGCCTGTGGAGCACATTACATAACTTTACAGTCTCCTAAAATACATATCCTGTCCGACGGCAAAAGAGGCTGCAGATTTAGTTTTTCTGCGCGTCGACAGGAGGTCTGTCCTGATGTTTCCTGGGACCGGCGCTAACTCTGCCGATCACGGGCGTTCTGGAGTCGACAGGATGTCTGTCCTGACGTTTCCTGGGACCGGAGCTGACTCTGCCGATCACGGGCGTTCTGGACTCGACGGGATGTCTTTCCTGACATTTCCTGGGACCGGCGCGGACTCTGCCGATCACGGGCGTTCTGGAGTCGACGGGATCTCTCTTCCGACGTTCCCTGTGACCGGTGCTGAACCGCTCGTTCATGCTTATTTTGGATACGACGAGATCTCTCTTCCAAAGTATGTTTTTGCTGACGCATCCTATTATCTATTCGGCAACTAACGTCCATTCTAAATTCATTTCCTCCTCGTCTCCTTATTTCTTTCCAAATATCCCTCTACATCAGGGAGTCGTATACAGAATACGACAAATATTGTGGCCAGCTGTTTGTACGGGACGGTACCGGGCAGATACGGGAGCCTGCAAATATTGTGGCCAGCTGTTATGTACAATCGTGTAGAGCCTTTGTAATCACAGATACTGGACAGATACGGGACAGATACGGGACAGATACGGGATAGCTCCAGGCATGACACAAACACACAAACAAACAAATACCAAATTATAGCTGTGTGGACCCTGGCTAGCGCCAGACGTTACTGAAGTAACGTCTTCTGCATAGCTACGGGAATTAAATCAGCTACAAATGAGTGGACAATTAAATCAGCTAGAAATTGAGGCAGAGCATTGTCGATGAACAAAGCTTTAGTTTGTGGCTTCCCGCTTTGCTGCACTTGCAGCTAAGGTCGACGTCTTCAACAGCGTTTGAGGCAGACCCTTCAGCATTCAACACTGCACAAGTCGCACGTTCCAATTCAGAGAAACTTCTTTTTCTAGCGATCCGCATGCCGTTAGGTGCCAGGCAACGACGGCAAACTAGCATTCTTCAAGTGCACTGTGACGACATTCCAGCGGGACAGGGTAAGCAGTTCCGCACCTTCTTTCCTTGGCAAGCGCTTCGCTGTGTTTGTTGGTTTTTAAGACCTGCTACCTTCGCAGCAACATGCGGTACACAAAGCGCATTTTAGGAAGTTGAGAACATGTTGTTCCTGCCATCGTAAACTTCAGCATTTCGAATTCAGGGGTGATTAGTGCAGGGGCCAAGTCCAAAAAAGTCACTTTATTGAGGAGATCTTCGTCCAGGAAAAATTCGACTTCAAATTCGTAGTTTGTTGTAGGTTGCGGTTAGGGCAGCTGTTTGTCTATTCGCCATCTTGTTGACCAAAATTGTCCTTCCAGGTCTTGGCGTAGGCTACCCCCACCCCCGTCTACATGTATGTCATGGGCACTGTGCTTCCTAAAAGCTTATACAAATGGACATGTGCATGTAGATTGGACAGCCTGCATTACATTGTTCTATAATGTGAATTGGGTGGAAAGTAGATCATGGTCACCGCTCCTGTCAGCATAGTACACCGCTGTCTGTAGCGTCCGCGTAGCCGTGCCAAATAAATGCAAATAAATTGAAACAAAAATAAATCGAACCGAAAATAAATCCACTAGAAACACTGAGTGCCTGTCTGTCCAAGTTCTCAAGTCCTCAAGTCATTTTATTACTATATGGCACTCGTTCCACAACATCACTCCCCACCAAAGGACTTCCTGGGGATTACAAATCTAACCGGATTGGTGCACAGACTCGGCCACCAGTTCTGGTAGTACGCACTTCATTGTCGGCTGCAACAGGTTGTGGATCTGGTTGAGGGGGTGACGTTGGTGGTGGAATCTCTACTGCTTCATTGGTGCTAGTCTCATCGTCACTACTGGCCACTTCTCCTGCCGTCGGAGATACTTCTAGTGGCACCAAACGCTGTACTGGGCGGAGCAAAGACGTTTGCCCAACCTTGACCCGCACCACGCGAACAACGCCGTCTTTCCCAGGGTACACATCAGTAACCCGAGCCAAACGTCCGAACTGACGCTTTCGTGATTCATCCACCAGCAGGACAACTTCCCCTGCTTTGACTGAGGATGATTTAGACTGATGATATGCAATCAAGCTGGTCAGGTACTCCCGCTGCCATCGCTTCTTCAGGTGTTCGCCAACTGTAGCAACATACCGTTGTCTTGCATTGAGCTGCTCTGCCGTCAGCCCTGATGCTTGTTCGCCGCTGATCTCGTCCGCCTGACAAACACCATTGCTCATCATTGCTGGCGTCAGGGGTAAGTCATCATCAGTGTCTGCCACATGGGTGAGCGGACGGCTGTTTACCACTGCTTCCACTTCGGCCAAGAGAGTATCCAATTCACGCGGACCGAGCATCGCCTTGCCCAACACCTTGCGTAATGGTGCCTTCACAGCTCCATCCAGACGCTCGAAGAACCCTCCATGCCATGGAGCCGCTGGAGGATTGAACAGCCATACAACATTGATCTTCCCCGCTGCCGACTTGAAGGTAATGGCATTATCCGAACGGATGCGAAAGGGTATACCCCGGCGTGCTACAAACCGCCGATACGCCAGCAGAAATGACTCCGTGGACAGACTGTCGACTGTCTCTAGATGGACTGCTCGCGTTGTTCCGCAAACGAATAGAAAATCCATGTTTTCTCCACTTGGTCACCCTTACGAACCATCAAGACGCCCGCATGATCAATGCCTGTCAGTCAGAATGGCTTGACATGACTCACACGGTCCGCCGGCAGTGGTGGCGTAACTTGGGTAGCAGCGGCCGCCTTGTAACACTTGCAGACTCCGCACCGAGATCCAATGCCGCGTAAGGCGCGCCGAACACCAATCACTAACACCTCCTGACGCAGTGATGCCAGGACCGTCTCTACGCCTCAATGCATTTGCTTCGCATGGTCCCGCTCCAGAATCAACGATGTCAGGTAGTGCTTGCCGAGCAATACCGGATGCTTAGTGCTGTACGGCAGCTCACTCTCACTGAATCTTCCTTCAGCTCTCAGTACCCCACTGTCATCCACATACGGGCCGAACTTAGCGATCTTGGAACTTGAGCTGAGCGGTTGGCCATTCTGAAATGCAGCCAAATCCGGTCTGCACAGTTCCTGCTGGATCAGTCAGTACAACCTGGCCTCAGCAATGGGCAGGATCTCCGCCCGCGTCTTAGTTGGATATCGCCATTGCAACATGCGAAGAACAACTCCGGTTACCCGGGTCCACCTTGACAAACGATCCCACCAGGGGTTCTGTAGCTCCGCTGTCACAACTCCAACTCGCATTTCCGTGACCAATTCACTCGTCTCGATGTTGGCTTGCATGTCTGCCCATCCTTCCGGACTCGTCAACCAGGCTGGTCCCTTCAGCCAGTCACTTCTTGTAAGACTACCCACGGGAAAACCGCGTGATGCAAGGTCAGCCGGGCTTTGCACTCCCGGACAGTGATTCTATTTCACATCTCGCTCCTTTGCAGTCTGCTGTACAGCTACCACTCGATTATCCACGAGTGTCTTCCAACAGTAGGATGGGTTCATAGTCCACTGCAGCGTTGTGAGGCTATCGGTCCAACCGAAAATCCCTTCTGCTTTTACTCTCAACTCCTTGCACACGAATGAGAGGTAGCTGGAGGCGAGGCACACCGCTTCCAGCTGCAGGCGAGCCAATGTTGGCGCCGACACTGGTGCCACCTTGCTCTTCCCACACAGCAGACATGCTACACCGTCAACTACGATGTAAATGCAGTAGCCATAACCCTTCTCTGACGCATCCGCAAATACATGTAGTGTTACAGGCATGTTGGGCTTACCGCCAATCCGCCACAGAACCTTCACAAGCAAAACATTGGAGACATCTCCCCACCATTGCGCACACTTGGCTGCTATCTCACTCGGAAGCGGCTGGTCCCAGGTGCTACCCAGTTTCCAGCACCCTTGCAACAGAATCTTCCCTGGTAGTACCGCAGGTGCAGCTAGACCAGGCGGGTCAAATACGGATACTGCGCAGTGCAGAAGTTGCCGCCGGGTCCCCGGTGACTCCTTGGTGTCAGTGTCACCTACTGCTGCTACCGCGATCACATCGTCATCAACCTCCCACCCGACCCCTAGCACATTGCCGCCAGACTCTGGATCACAGACGATGGTGTTGCCATGCCACTTTCTCAGATCCATTCCTGCACCTTGCAGAGCTACCACACTACACTCTCGAAAATAATCGGCTTGGGCAGGACAAGACACACTAACTACCGAATCATCAACACAAAAAACTATCACGTAACAGCGCAAACACATAGCACGATCAGCATCATTAGCGCATTCAAGCAGCCTATCCAAATGGTGCAACAACACAGCATTCAGAATAAAGGAGGAGCAATTCGCTCCGAATGACGATTTCGTGAGCCGCCAGACACACATTTCGCTTTCGCCCAGCTCGGGCCACACAAAGCGAAAATATGGCCTATCCTCTTCTCTAATGCCTATCATGAAAAAAGCTTTCCTAATGTCCCCTTCTAATGCAAACGGATACTCACGAAACCGTAGGAGAAGGCCCACCAAATCGGGTAGTAACGATGGGCCTGGGCTCAACAGGTCATTCAACGATGACTTCCCAGTTGCCGATGCCGACGCGTTGAAGGCTACCCTTGTCTTGATCGTAGCGGCGTGCTCCCTGAAGATGGCATGGTGTGGCATGTAGTAGCCGGGCTGTTCGGGGTTCGGCCTTCTTTCGATAGCTCCTAGCTCGCTGTACTCTCTCATGAGCACGTTGTCATACTGCTGCCTCTTGCCCTTGACGTTCAGCCGATCCATCGGCTTGGTAGCTTCTGCCATAGCTTGGGTGTAATTTTCAGGTGGTCGGCGGTCAGACCTCCATAACCGCCCAACTTGGTACTGCGTCCCCACTTGCTCTATGGGGAACTCAAGCTGGTGGCTCATTACGTTTGGTGGCTCCTCCAGCTGCCACAACCGTTCTACCCTCGCTTCGACGCAGGCAACTGACACCGTGCATCCGAGTTCGGAGTCCTTAGTTTAGCGAGACAGTATCCGGCCGATCTCTGTTTCCCAGGCGGTGTTGCCGTTGACAACCCGTTTTTGCAGTAGGATGTCGTTGCAGTGATCTACACCAATCAGGAGATGGACGTCGTTGGGCATACCTTCGCCTGGTTGGTCACTCAGATTTATGCGGCTCGCTTTCCATTTTACATATCCTTGCCTTGGCGACTGGCGGAAACGCATACTCATGTTGTCATTTTTCCAGGCGTGTACCTTGATAGGACCCAATGTGCCCGTCACTGCAACCTGAAGGCGCTCCACTCTCTGGACTTTGGGCTCATTGCCGAACGCCGTTACCTTGACCTGGTCTGTCCCTACACACTTGGGGGAAATGGCTGCCGCTAGCGACGAGGAAATAAATGAGGCCTGTGACCCTGGGTCCAGAAAGACTCTCACTCGTGCCCGCTTCTTGGCGCATACTTCCGCTACAGCTGTCATGAGATGCACCGGTGCCAATGCGGTAAAACTGTATAATGCTCTCATCCCGGTCCTTGACGGGTTTAGGCTTTGGTTTCCCATGCAGCAACGTGTGGTGCTTGCCATCGCACTTGCTGCAACCTGGGTTGGGCTGGCACTGTTCCGCCAGGTGACCCCCACACAAACAGAGGTAGCACAGCTTTTCATTGCGCACGTACGCTCTGCGATCGTACGTTTTTCCCATCTTAGCCAGATCCTTCTTGGCTTGCTTCGCTGACACCCCAAGGCACTGCGCACTGTGTTGGACTGGTGGAGCAACGGACTGTTTCTCAGCTACCTTCCGCCGTCCGTGCGCCTTCTGATATGAGCCGCCAGTTGCCTGGAACGTGGACATGTCCATATGGAAGCATTTACGTTCAATCAGGAACGCTTTCATCTCGGCTGGCAATCCATCCAATGCTAGCTGCTTGACCAATACTGCAAGTACGCCAGGCGCTTCATCGTCCTCAGCCTCTGCGTTGCCAGTGATTGTCATCTCTATCCACGAGTCGAGCAGCCTTTCTACTCTTGTTACAAAATGATGGAACGACTCGTCGAGCTGCGTGATGAACTGGGCACCTCGCCACACCTGTCCGCGGTCAGTCCATGCGCCAGCAGCACTTCCCATTTCGCTTCGTCATACGAGGCGCATCCCGAGAACACCTTTTCCACCTTGCTCCCAGAGAACGATACACGCAAGTGAATCAGCCACTCTTCTCTGCTATACCGATTTTCCTGAGTAATATCCTGGAAAAGACTCAGGTACTCCTTGATGTCCGTTGCTTTCCGCTCCTCATACTTCGGATACTTTATCCGGTTCCTCGTTCCGGTTCCCCGTTCCTCCGCGTTCACACTATTCGTCATATGGGTCCGTGCTCAGCCTCCAGTCTAGAGCGCTCGGTTTACGCATCTAGCTCTGCCATCCGCGGATCATGCTCCTGCTGCGTGCGCACCGCCTCCCGTTCCCTGGCAAGATCCTCTCGATCGTTTCTCCCTGCCACTTTGCTGTCCACGTACTGCGCGAGTTGTTCCGCTTCATACCCCAGGGCCTGCCCAACTCTCAGAAACCGCTTTTCCAATAGCAGTTCCCCGGTGGACTCTGTCTTGCATCCTTTTCCCTCACTTGTTTTCTCCTTGTGCTTCGTGGCCATTTACTGTCAGCGCCACGGGACCAACACAGCGTCTATCCTGGCGTGATCGCCAAAATTAGGTCCAACCGACTACAAGCTCAACTCAGTGGGGTGATATTTTACATTGCAAGAATTATGAATACAGGTGAAACAAGAGAGAAAGAAACACTATCCATTCATCACGGAAGGAACAACAACAACCAGAAAAGAAAAACATCGAAGAACCAAGCAGCGCAAGCGAAAGCCAAAACGCTCTCCTCAGCAGAACGTGCATGTGCAAGTGCACCTTCAGCGCACCCGGAGCAGCGCAAACAAAGCCACCGTACTGAACTAATCTACATGCATCAAAATAAGGGCACCACATGCACTCAAAAAGTAGACTGATCTGCATAAGGGTACGCGACTAGTAGCGTCCGCGTTGCCATGCCAAATATATGTAAATAAAAACACCAAAAAATCGAACCAAAAAAATCAACTAAAAACACCGACTGTCTGCCTGCCCAAGTTCTCAAGTCCTCAAGTCCTATTATTACTATATGGCACTCGTTGCACAACATCCTCTCTCTCTCTCTCTCCCTCTCTCTCTCTCTCTCTCTATCTCTCTCTCTCAGTCTCTTTCTCTTCTCTCTCTCTCTTTCTCTCTCTCTCTCTCTCTCTCTCTCTCTCTCTCTCTATATCTATCTATCTATCTATGTATCTCTCTCTCTCTCTCTCTCTTTTCTCTCTCTCTTTTCTCTCTCTTTCTCTCTTTCTCATTTTCTCCCTCTATTTTTCATCTCTCCCCTTCTTTCATTCTTTCTTTCTTTCCCATTTAGATTTTTAAGCATTAGTGTATTTTTCCTGTTGTGTGTGCCACTTCATGTTGCAGGGGTAGAGCGAGCGAGCTTGGCAGCACAGGCATTGCCGGAACATGCCCATTTGCAATGCAATTCTCACTTGGACTCCTTGCCTATACTTTTGACCCATTACTAGAACACGGTGTGAAATTGGGTAAGTGAAGAATTTGCAGACAGTTCTTGTGACATGAGGGAACAACCACCGAGGGTAGCAGGAATTCAAACTTTGACCAATAAACACCCATGAAAATCATGGGATGTTTTCTCCCCGGTTTTGGACGTTCCACGGCCACGTGGACCGACTTTTTGGGAAGTTTATTTTTATTTTTATTTGGTACGGCCATGGCCGTACCGGCCGTACCAGTGGCGCCGGCCCTGACATGACATTCCATCCATGTAACGCCATACATGGATGGAATGTCATGTGGTCGCACAGCAACATACTACAGACAGATTCTGCTCCACTCGCCTCGATATTTTGCCGCAAAATGTTGCTGCTAAACCTTCGATATTTTGCCGAGCCTGGCACAAGAAACTTGATATTTTGCTCCATTTTGCTCCTGAAAAACGTATATTTTATCCACTTCCCGTACAATCCCGTACACTGTTTCATCAAAATCGCAGAGTCGGTTTCTCAACACGGGTTTCCTGAGTTTTTTCCACGCACGTGTCCCTGAGTTCTTCCAAAATCATGTCGATCCACAGTGAATCCCAGTGATATTTCGGTGACATGATCTCGTCCTGGGCAGTGTGTCCCGCTGAACGGGTAAGAAACAAGTAAATCCAAGTACATGTATCTGGCATCCATTTTACCCAACATCTCGATATTTTGCTCAAATTTTGCCGGCAATTTTCGCTCTTTTAATTCTTCGATATTTTGCCGGAAGAATTGCCGGCAGGATCTGTCTGTGTCTATACTAGATGACTGTGCAATAATTCCAAGCAGCAGGTACAACTCATGTGTACCACATGGAAGTTGTTACTAGTGAGTTGGCTAATGAAGCCATGTGACAAGCCCAGCGAGGAGAATGCTATTATTCCCGTGGCTATGCAAAAGACGTTATTTCAGTAACGTCTGGCGCTAGCGAGGGTACACACAGCTTTAATTCCCTGCGTGTGTTTGTGCCGTCGGCATGCATGGCACTATCCTGTACTTGTCCCGTACTCTAGCATCAAAGACAGCTGGCCACCATACTCAAATAGTTCTTTCAAATGCAAGATTATAACATGAAGCAACTTGGAAGAATGAGTATGTATGCGAAGTGTATCGGGGGAATGCATACAGGGCGATATTGCGGGTTCGAATCCCAGGTTATAAAAATAGGAGAAGTGAAAAATGTATAACATCCCTATGCTTTTTGCCTAGGTGATCAAGGTGGTAGAGGGTGTCGTATTACCCTCGAATGCAAAGAGAAAGTTTTATTTTTTTTGCTCAGGACCCTACGGCCTACGAGGCTATTGTAGTATCCCTGCCTTGCTAGTACTGACTACTAGCTGACTACTAGCTGACTACTAGCTGACTACTACTGTGGCGTATAGCGTATAGCCTACAATGTAAAGCATATAGCGTATATTTAGCGTATCCCAGAACGTGCGCGTACGGAGTCTGCCGCCCTATAAAAAAAACCTGCCGCGCTTTACTGATTTCTAGACAACTGATTTCTGATTTCTAAAACTGCAACAACAACAGAGCCGAGCAGAAGAGCTGTTCTGACCTCCAGGTGTGCACCGGAGAAAGTTCCTTTATTGTCGCTTCTCTTTCTTGCCTTTTTACATGCTATCCAGGTGTGTACCTGAGAAAGTTTGATTAACCCTTTACCGGCAGCCCCATACTTGAATGCGTCGTAAACGACGCATTCGACATGCATACTAAAACCATGCCTGGTATGACAGGAAGCATCAGCCCACGGGGATTTCCCTTGGCCCTCACACAGCCTAGGTATGATGCTATCCGTAGCTGAAGAGATCTACGCGTGTCCCATTTGATTTCATTAAGAACTGCGCGATCGAAAACTTACGGAAATACACGCGCGCCGACAATGCCGTCTGCCTCCGTCAAAACGTCGTCAGGTGCATTTCCTCTTGCGCAGTGAGTTCTTTTCGTCCTCAGATGACTTCTCCGACGAGGACCTAGCAGACCTTCGCTCTGGGACCTACAACAAATAGATAAATACTTCGTTCCAGCCGCCAATGCAAGCGAATTTCAAATTGCGGAGCGGAGCGCACGTCTAGTAAATTCTCACGCAAATATCGGGAGCTCCAACCGCTGAAGACGATGTCGTCGTGATGTACCTGGAAGAATCCGATGGTGCTTAGGGTGGGGAAGCCATGGAGAGGGATCCCCGTGTCGATAGTTTCCCAGAGACGAAATTTTAGGCCATCGACTTTCTACGTACCTGAGTGACGGCAGCGCAGCGCGACTTGCGAACAACCTTACTGAGCCATCGGACAGCGATTCTGGGGGGATGCTGATCTCAATTGCGAGCGAGGCACGGCCACTGAAGTTGGTGATGGCTATGGCGTTCGTTTCCACTCCGAAGTCGACTTGTTTTGGCAGTATCATGTCAATGTCGGAATCTGACGATTTGCATTATGTACAATTTCCGTGTTTAGACGTATAGGTGCCAATTTAGCAGCGTATGTGTGTGGTATATGAAAATAAATTTTTCCATGGTCAAGAAGTAGTACTAGACTTCCAAGAAAACATAACTTGCACGTACAAAATGTGCCCTTGTTGTGAGGTATTGGCATCCTTCTCAATGTTATGGATTTCATATACAAAATGCACTTGCCGGTAAAGGGTTAAAGTTAATTTGTGTTGATTGTCGTGCCTCCACTCGGCTATCCTCTACACTATGCTTTTTTGCCTAGCTCATCATGCATGTTATTCGAACAGATGGAATTTTTTTGCAATACTTGGTCCGCCCAGTTACAATTGGCGCTTATCTTCACACTTGTCTCAGGAAGGAAATACGAATATTTGAAGCAAGCCACGATCACAAAGCACTATGTACATGATTATTTACATGTTAGTAAGCAACTCAGTCGAAAATTCAAGCAAGTTACACATCCTCCTCGCCATTATCGTCGCTGGAAGAAGAGCTCAAAACGTTCGATCCGGACAGCTGCTGCACGTTCCATAGCTTGTTCCACTTCTCCTCGTCTCGAATCACGCTCAAAGGCCGTGCGTGCCTGTCACCTTGCCGATCAGAAGCTGAGTGAGACTGCCCGCATATTGGCTGTTAGTGTTATCCCCGTTCGTCGCAATAATGCGACTTTGTTTGAGACAAAAAGGTGACGCCACATCTCAGTGTCCTTTTCTCAAATTACCTCTTGCGCTTGTCGTACTTGCTGATGAGCACCCACGCGAGCCGCTGGTGCTTGGACATGCAGCACAGTGATAGCTTCCGCTTGATGTAGCACCTGTGGGTACTGAACCTAAGTCCTAACGCCGTGCACCAGGCTGTTTGGCTAGTTTCCTGAAAGTCCTTTGCACGAGTGTTTCCCTCAGGACTTGGTGTTTATTTTGATTAGTTCCTTTGCCCTGTCCTATGTGAGCTTCAAAGTGTGTCCGCCGGATTGGTCTCACTTTCTGGAGATGTGGACATGAACTGTAGTTTCTTCGGCAGTGATTTGCTGGTGATAACCCTTCACTAGGCGCTGTACTGTGCAAGCACTGAAATTGAAGCTCGCGAAGCGCTTTTTCAGCTTTTCTATACCTCCCCGGGGTAAACAATCATTGCCATCAGACAGCTGGAAGTAGGCAGAAACTGTATTCTCCATCGCTCTGAAATGCGAACATCCTGACCTATTTTACGGACTCGAGCGGAGGTTGCAGTGTTTTCTTGCGTTGACGGAAGTGTTCGTCGGCAGAAGCTCCATCAAAAAGACTCAAACGAACCGATCGCAACTTCTGTGATGGTTTGTGCTGCCATGTCGTCGGCTGCAATGGTCAATGGTTATGTTCGGATGGTGAATCGGTGGTTCCATGTCGTGTGACACAGGCATAACACCGAAAAACCAAGTGAGGGGATAAGCGCCAATTTTAACTGGGCGGACCAAGTATAATGATGTAGCCGATCAATTCGTTGTGGTAAGGTTGGGCATTGTAGCCGTCATGGTCGACGTAAACACTATTTACATACACAAGCTCGGGGAGAAAAAGTCTCTCTGTCACATAAGCTGCCCCATACCAACTAAATACAAAACTATGCACTTCACACGAGCTGACTTGCACATGTGGCCCTTTTCACGAACCCAGACTCCGCGTCCGCGTCATCGAAATTGTCGCAGTTTTACTAGTGACTTGTCACTTGTTACTGACAACTCCCTAAGCTAAGCCATTCAAAACTTATTACACAGTATGATAGTCTGAAGACTTGAGTAATGTTCCAGGACTGTTGGACTGAGAGTTTTCATGCAGAGATGAAGACCTCGTCGTCGCTGATGTCAATGGACGCAAAAATATCGTTCCGAAATATTTCAAGGAAGGTTGAAAGTTGGTCGCGCCTCATCTCAAACGCTTTGACTTTCTCCACAGGACAAGAGCTGCTATGCTTGTCGTCTGCTAGATCTGGATGATTTCTACTTCACCACCAACGAAGCCTAGTAAGAATACACAATCGTTGCGAGGTCGGTTGATTACCGTCAGCGTAATCACCTCGATCTTCAAATGAACTTTTTTTAGTCGTGGCATGCCCATTTATTTTAGCTGTGTGGTCACAGCTCGTGCAGGTAAGTGTACTATCACGTCCAGCGCGCCCTCTTTTTCAGCATCACTGCACTGGTATACCATGGTACGGCACCTGCGCCTGCATCACTAGCACTACGTGTAAAGTCTACACGGCTCTTGCAGGTACAATCATGTACCAGTGTGTACTGAGTGTCTCAGCCAGAGCAACACATTTTATTGCTGTTGCAGACATTTAGTTTGCTGACCCCTCGATGTTTCTCCAAGCGCTGCCACTTGTTCCACGAAGTCATTCTCACCCCTGCTAAGGTAAAACAGTAATGAGGCTTGAGTGAATGGCCATAAGCACGAGAAATGTGCAGGCTGCAACGCCTGACTGATCTCAGAGAGTCGAAATTACCATCGCAGCGACATCAGCGAAGAAATTGCGTCTAGTTCAAAAATTCCAGCTTCCAATAACAGAAAATAGAACTTTGCCGTCACCGTATACTGATGATTATCGCCTATGTCCGATTCCGTGCCTCTGGTACGAGTGCTGGTAAGTAAATACCCCGTTTTATATCAAAAGTCAAATTGCGACAATTTCGATAACGTGGAGGAAGTACGAAGTCACTACAGTCCATTCAGCGGAAACAGTCCCGCTGGCTTTTAAAAGTCGGATTTGGGCCGAATTGAGGATCAAAACCCCACTTTAAATCTCAAAAATCTGGGTTTTCAATCTGCTTCTCAATACATTTTTTTCCATGGCATGACTGTCCTAATTTTGTAAACCCTGGCTGAATTTCTATTTCCCTGTTCTTGGACTTTTTGGCCTCAAATATGGCAAGGAGTAATTGCACGGGTCACACAATGCAGGATGCACTGTTCTTTTCGCGATATCTGCAACTATGTGTGGGAGACACCAAAAAGTTAGGGTGCCAGTTTCCAATGAATGAACTGTAGATTACCACCCCCCCCCCCCCCCCCCGCACCAGAGATGAAGGCGAGAGCTGTTGCCGAAGAACGGCAAGCGGAAAGATGCCTGGCGCTATCCCGTACCTGTCCCATGCCGTACCATCAAAGACTGCTGGCCATGATATTCAAATAGGGCTTTCAAATGCAAGATCATAACGTGAAGCAACTTGGAAGAATGAGTATGTATGCGTAGTGTATCGGGGGAATGCATGCAGGGTGATAGTGCAGGTTTGAATCCCAGGTTAGGTCTTGAAAAAATAGGAGAAATGAAGAAAAAAACTTTTACCTAACTCATATTCAAATTGATTGAAACGGTTTTTGCAATACAGTCGTCCCTCTCTAATCCGGCACCTTTTGCAACGGCATCTTCTGCTGGATAAACAAGGGTGCTGGATTATCAAATCTTGCCCTCTAACTCGGTCCACATATTAGTAAAAATGTGTGTGTTGTACGACCAAACGCGGGGATTTTCTGTGTCAATACTATGCATAGGTATTTATTTATTTATTTATTTCTGCACCTCGTGGTGTATGATAATTATTATATTTGCAACTGTATGTGTGTAGAATGCTCCCTGATAAGTTCATGCGCGTCATGCACCGACCAAACTGACATGATTGTGCACTAGTACGGTATGCGATGTACAACTGCTCGATTATGTAATAAACTTATGTACAGTTTGAGTGGTTTGTTGCAGAAAATCGTGGCTGGAGCCGGAATTCAAATGCCGGACTAAAGCGTAGAAAATGAACTGAAAAATCCGTTTCGGCAGAAAGTGTGCTGGTTTGCAAGGGTTCCGGATAAACAATTGCCGGATCAGAGAGGAATGACTGTACAATGATGTAGCCAATCAATAAAAAAAAACATTCTCGCTCCACATATACTGGCATACACAGAGACATAGACAGCAATAGCGACAACACACAAAGTGAAGGGTAGTTGGCCGCAGCCAGATGTGAACCGGATAACGAGTGAGGTATGGAAGCAAGCAAGGACTGAGAACAGAGTGTCTCAGATAGAATAGTCGTGCCAGTGGATAGCAGAAATAGGCCATGATGCAGAACCACTTGGGACCGTCAGATTAATTTTCCTGGACCGAGCCAGCCGGGAAAAAACCCTCGCGCCGACGGACGCATTTGTGAGGGGAAAAACCGGGTGTATATCCCCAATGGCGATTAGGCATCATGTAGGCATGGCAAGCACATCACGGCAAACAGTGATAAAAAGCATTGATAATATGCACAGAAATAAAGGGTGGGAGGGCAGGGACACTGGTGAGACTCAAAACTGACTGAAGAAGTCAGGAAAAGAAGCGACAACAAAGAACACACCAGATGCCATATTTGCAACTGAAAATATTTCGCGAGAAATCATTTCTCGCCTATCTCGCTGCGCTCGGCCGGCGAGAAATACAACTTTCCGCCAGTTCTAATAACAAGCATGATGAGCTTGGCAAAAAAGCATAGCGTAGGGCCCTGAGCTTCCAAGCTCTTTCGTTAATTTAGGGCTGAAACAATTATACCGAGAACTCAAATATCGATCGTTAAAAGTGCAATCGATAATCGTCAGTGGTCAAAACGAGTGCTAACGAATTTTTATGCATGCATATCAGTGACAGTATTCTACCCCTTGCACTCCATCCGATAGTGAATACGAGTGCAATCATGTACTTTCAAGCGCAGCAAAATTGATTTGTGGGAGAAGTCGGAGATGAGAGCAGTTGCCAGAGGGTGATGACAAGATTCTTCACTCTGGAAACAACATGAGATTCTCTACTCGAGGAGTTCATGTTGATAAAACGGGCCAGATATCTACAGATGTCAACAGAGCGGTACCACAAATTTCTAACGTAGCAAAGGCATCATCAAATTTCTTCATAAACTGGTTTTCGATACAGCCGACAAGAATCGATAAATATCGATCGCTAATGATATTGGTTGATCATTCGGAGTTAATGAATGATCGTTTCAGTCCTACTCGTTATTGATGGTTTCTATCAACTACTTCTGAATCCGAACTCCGAGGTCATGCAGGAGAAGTGGCTGGTAAAACAAAGTCCTGGCTCATTCCAACTGTCGTTCAAGAAATGCAGTAAAGAAAACAGGGAAAGGACAGGCACTTAGATGACGAATTTAGAGCTCGTACTTGACAACATACCGCTGAGTACTGTAAAGCCATTATTCTAACGCGGCGCATATATAACGATTTCCCAAAATTGACTAGTTTGCGAGTACCAAAGGTAACGATTCTCACTCCGCATTCTCAACGCTCAATAGGACAGTATATGTATCGATTTCTGTATAACGATTTCTATGTTAACGACAGATTTCTCCTCGTTAACTCGTTAGAGTTAGCACTTCGTTATTATGGCTTTTACAGTATGTGAAAACAAAGTTTCCGAGAAGATAGTAGCACACCTCTTCTAGCATTGAGGACATGTGCCCCCCGAGGATATGTGCCCCCGAGGATATGTACCCCCCCCCCCCCCCAGGATATGCCCCCCCCCCCAGCATTCTTTATTGTGTTTCCTTGAAATACTAAATTTTTGAATTTTTTTCCACTCTGCTCGGCTGAAATACGTCCAAACTCGTACCTGCGCATGAAAGCTGGGCCCCTTCCCGACGTCTAGTCAGCAGATTCTACTCCAACGCAACGACGAAAACTGAAAACCAAAGTGGGTTGTTGATTCTCATACATGGAAAAGCAGCAGTGATCACTTGTAACTCTAAACGGCAACCTTCTCCTTGCCCCACCTACATTTTTTTGCTGCGACAGTTGATGCAATCGTGACAGAAGTTCTGCGTACATTTTTTGAATAATCTTATTATTTGAAACTCGGATGTTGAGCCATAAATAAATGTGGAAAGGAAAAGTAGTATCCAGTTACAGTGATGGAGAGTTACTCTTAACTCGTATCCATAATTATGTCCTTTTCCTTTCCACAGTCTTATTATTATATGCATTTCCGCGGCAATGTCAGCCGCACAATGGCAACCCACACATTCGCATATGCCGGAAATAGAATGCTCTGCCAAAAACATAAACCAAATGACATCATATATATCCGTTCTGTGTAATCCAGTCAAGAGGAACATACGACGGCACAGAGTCCTCTCCACACTGCACGGTCCCTTGCCAGGATCCGGAGGCGCTGCAAGTCACCAAGCGACACAAGCCTTCCAATATCCATTCCCGCCAGGTCTCCCGACAGCTTCGTGACAATTGCGACACGTGGGCGCCCTCGCCAGGTCTTCTCATCGTGCGTGAAATACGCCGCCATTGCCAATGATGCTGGGGTGTCCTCTGGCAAGCGGAGAATGTGACCAAAGAGTTGCCACCACAGGCACTTAATAATCTACCGAAATTTAATTGGGAAAAAATAGGTGGATGTCATTTGTCACCAAAATTCTGGCTCCGATTAAGCGATGGTGATTGTGTCTGATGCAGGCTGCGAAGTTTGTGAATAAATTTTCATGTCGAAACAGCACAGGAAACAGATCATATTTAGGGGAAATGGAGCCATTTTTGAAAACCACGCAAGTGGATACAGACATGGGAGGCCCTCTCCACCTCTCCACCTCGTGTGTAGGTGTATGCATTCTTTGCTTCGGTTTTACCGATTATAAATATTGTGCTTTACTGTTTTTGCAGTCGCCAGTTCTTGCAGCGGTGCTCTCGTCCAATGCTATCAGTTTAACATGGCTACCAAGTATTTTTGTGAATGTCCTACTGGAACACTCTACAATGGAACGCAATGTGTACACGTCACACCCGTCTGTAACCCGACATCGCTCAGTATGCCATCATGTTCAACATATCCCACGTGCACACCAATTGCCACAACCTCCAACTACCAGTGTGTTTGCCCGGCAGGCTTCAACATCTCCAGTGATGGCCATGTGTGCGAAAATTTTGATGAGTGTGCCAGCCGCACTCATACATGTACAGGCGATGAAGTTTGTGAGGACACCTATGGCAGCTTTACGTGCACCTTGACATGCAAGGTGGGGTACTTTGGTAAGTCAATATTCCATTGACAAAATGTTTTAGGTGTACTGCTGCATATGCATGAAGTCTAGTTCATGCTTTTAAACCCCTTTTTACGGGCATCCTTTGTAATCGCAGGGACAAACGATGTCCAACATCCACCAAGGTCTCTTTTGTTGAAAGGGATATCTGCGCCTCCCAATTGAACTGTTAGACAGTGGTGTCTCCTCATTCCTTTCATTTTCTCGCTAATGAATGCATAAGCGGTATGCTGGATGGAGTGGCTGCCTCAGGTAAGCGGATTACAGGTTCGTTCTCTGGGTGGAATGCAGGAGTGTTACCAGCCACAGCGGTATCAGCATTGTCCCAAGTGTTGCGAATATCGACAAGTGCAGGTTTCACCGCCGGCTGTACCCAGTACATGTGTACCATGACCTCTACCTTGAACACGGCCTATTCCACGGCAGCATCCTCTCCCTCTGTCACGCCCTCTGTGACATCCATGTAACTCTCGCTGGTGCTGCTTTCACGTTCACTGTCGTTGTCATAAAATATATCTTCATAAGGATCGTCTGGCTCCACAAACTCATCTTCGCTGTATGAGGCGGCGACAGGGTCAACAGGAAGGGTCTCCAGAAGCAAAAGAGGTTACTCCGCATCCATGGTTTGCACAGCAAGGCAGACAGTCGCGAGGCCAGCTCAAGCGAAAGGCAAAAACATCTCCAAGTAATACCAAAAGTCGCAGGGTACGCACTTTTCCCAAAGCCCATTTTTCAAATCGCGATTTTTTATAATAATTATTGCATCACACAGAAAATGTGTTGGTGCCCTCAGGCGTACATCTTAGCTATCAGTAGGGGAAATCGCAGCTCTCTGTGGTGAACCAGTCCAGCGCTGAGCTCATAGAAGTCAGCGACCGCGAGCTGTCCAAATTTGTACGTACAATCGGTAAAGGGTTAACAGCCATCTTTTTAATTACTCTAGTTCAAGTACCCAACATAATGTTGCCTCTGTTTGTTTTACATGTTGCGCAACTTTACACAATCCAGGCTTCAAAACTCTGTGCAGAAACCTAGACGAGTGTGCAATGAAGGGTCTGGTAAACTGCTCAACAAATCAGGCATGCGTGGACACAGACGGATCATATGCATGCCGATGTGCACTCGGGTTCACAGGTAGGACGTCTTTGTATAATGTGTACGTAAAATGTGGAATTGCAATATCTTGTGCAGAGATTGTGGCATCATGAGATCAGACCGTTGGACAAGCTATCAGCGTACCGTATTTCCCCGTAAGTTAGTTCTCCCCAATGACTTAGTACCCCCTATAAAAAATACACTTTCCACTGCTGAGGTTATCACCCCGAAAGACAGTTCTCCCCGAAAGATAGTAAGTTCGTACCCGTCCTACATGTACAGACACCGTACAGTACATACATCATATGCACGGACACTAGAGTTGCACAGGCTTCCCACTGCGTGTCATTTACCCCCGATACAAAAGTACTCCCGAAAGATAGCACCACCCCCGAAAGTTAGTACTCATGTGGCTTCTAAGTTCGAAAGTTAGTACGTACTAACTTACGGCGAAATACGGTATTGTAGTAGATATATCAAGGTGGCTCTGCCTTTTGTAGTGCAATTATCCGGCTCCACGTGTGTTCCTCCTCAACTTCAGTTACAGTCAACTTCGCTGTTACGGACTGCTGATATAACGACAATTCGTGAAAACTGACAGATTGTCTATGCCCAGAGCAAAGTCCCATCTGCCTGTATACATATAAAGAGACTTCGGGTGTAAGGACACTTCGAGAATTTGGACACTTTTCTGATGCCTCACAGAGTGTCGTTATATGCAAAGTTGACTCTACTTCCATAAAGGAGACTGACTAATTAAGAAACCAATATAAATCATCTCAACTTCTGTTTAAGGCCCGTTATTGCAATTCAAGAGAACCACACTGTTTTTTCTCACCCTCTCATCCAGTAACAACCTTCCCTTATTGAGGAAAAGAGATTTGATGATAGTAGTGTACACTGAGAAAGTGAAGGTTCCTTATAACCGGCTCAACGTGTATTAAGTTTTACTGGAAGCTAAAATTCATGTTTGTTAGTTCTAGGTGAGGAAATCATTGAAAAGAGTTTGTTTATCTGGAAGCCATTTAGTTGTCGGTTGTAACGTTAGAAATTCCTTTTCAGGTTATCGATAGCATTGCAGTTGTGCCTCCAGTACTTCTTTTTTGGGGCAAAATGACGTGGAGGGTAATATAGCCCCAGAAGGCCAGACCACTCGGAATAAGAGTTCTCCATCATAGATATCATGATTGAAGTTGCCGGTATATGTTTGCCAGTGGTTAGTGATTCAAAAGCTTTTCCAACACTTGTTAAGGCCAGTTTGCAGCTGTTTCCAAGTATCGAGTACGACTATACTGTGATGAATGACGGCATGATAGTTTCACGGTTTTTCACCATTAATGATCTTTGACTCCAAAGTCCTGTGGTGTTTAGATTTGGCTACTGAGGAAAGTTGTTGCCTTTCCCCCATTGTCACTTTTCCTCTTCAGGTAATAGTGGATCTTGTGTCGATATTAACGAATGTAATCCAGTGAGTGGCAATCCCATCACTTGCCCGCCTAACTCTACGTGCCGCAACACAATCGGATCATACTCTTGCGAGTGCAACACCGGCTTCCAGGCCAATGCGCTAGCCGCCAACCAGTCGTGCCCGGTGACGATATCAACCATGTGTGAGAATGTGGATGAATGCAAAAGTGGAGCATTTTCGTGCGCAGCAAACAGGCACTGTAATGACACAGTCGGTTCCTATGTATGCGAATGCAACACGGGTTATGCAGCTCAAGGTAAGAATGTGTATTCTTTGAAGGAAAAACTCAGAATGCATTAGGGGACTTCCCGGTTTCATTTGATCTATGTTGGGCGGGCTAAGATCAAAAGGGGCAAGGTGACGCCTGCTTTGAAATGAACGCTTGAATATGCGCCGAATACTTTACCGCTGGCATCAATCAACTTGGACAGCTCCAACTTGCCGTCAGTAGGAGCACGTTAGCACAGATGCGTCTTTATGCTCCCTTCTCAGGGCAATCTTACTTCGCCATGCAAACACTGGTAAGACCATATGGCCCAACTTCTGTGAAAACCAGGATTAGGGTAAAAATCATTTAAAAACAAGAATAATAATGTTTTGTAAAAAGGTTGTGTCGCGCGGGCGCTCGAGTGCAGCGAAGTTGAACCAAAGGGACTTTCGCTTGTATGAAGAAGTAGCGATCATGGCAGGAAGGGTTTCAGCAGACAGGGAAGTCAAAGGGCTTCCGGCAGAATATTCCCTCCTACTCCTCTAGTCACAACGAAGAGTTTTCGAGCTGATCGGACCAGTTCCATTTCCTACACTCCTGATGACGAAATTTCTGCGCTAGCTGCTGCTGCGGTAAATGGTGAAGAAATCATTTCCAGTTAGAATCGTGATGGCCATAGCGAGGAGAACCTGACATTGATCCAGCCAATTGAAATACGGAGACACTAGCTGTCTCTCGGCCTAACGCAAAGCGAAAATGCGCAGCAGAGCTCATACGCTTGCGGCAAGTAACTTAGTTCGCGAGGAAAAAGGCTGCAAACGCAGTGTGAAAACTGTTTTGAATTGAAGTCCTTGGCGATGAAGTGCTACTGAATGTCAGGCAAATGAGCGAGCAGAAGGAGAGGCCCCCACTTGAGACTTTTCTCGCTCTGCAGCTACCTGCACTGTACGGCATTCCGAGATTTCACTTGCCTGTCAGCAACAAGCAGACACTGCAGCACACTATGTGCATACTATGGACAGTGAGTGGACATTTTGAAAGGATTTGTTCTTGCTGGTTTCTGAACGGTTACACTAGGTTCACCCTGCAAAAGGTGCCATCTCAACAGGAGTCTGGTTTCCTTGTGGAGTGTCGCGCCAGAGCACACCAGTAATATGCTGAGTGGGGAGCAATCAAAGTTCATGCAGAACTCTGCATGGCCACTACAGGCTGCAGCACCAAGGGGCCACAACAAGCCTGCCCCACAAACATACCTTGTCATGTCACCCAAACAACAATCATCCATGTCCCTTCCTTCAGTCTGGTGGATCTCTCTTACAATTCTTTCTTTCCTGAGATCACGTGTTTTTTTGGATTTTTTAATTAACCCTTTGGAGCCTAGCCTGCACAGTCAAATATCGACGGTATACCGTCGATGGACTAAGAGGTTCGTCACCAGGCGCGTGCCCCGTATGGGTTCCTGGTTTCCTGGACCCCCCCCCCCTCCCCCTTTCACTCAAAATGCGGGATTTTGCTTCATTTTTGGAATTTTTTACCGGGGACGCCCCCGTACCCCCGCCCCCCCATTGAAGGGCACCGCGCACATGCCTGGTCACTCACTCGAAACTTTATGGATTTCCACGATCGATATACCTGGGAAGAAGCCAAAGAGCTCAGCTTTCTAATGCAACAATCGCCAAAGAGCTACGATGTTTCGTTCATATTTCAGTCGCGGCAAAAGTCGAACTTTTTCTCAGTGGCTGGCCTTGCGTGAGGGATTTCACCTTGGATGACATGCTGATTCACCCAGGCACGCTTCCTGCACGTGCCTAGCATAAAACAAAACTCAGTGCAAAAAATGAGCGTTCCGCGATGACTGAGAGTAAAAGGGCTGGCGTCGAGGAAATTTGCTCCTATATCCAGCTCGGTGGACTGTTCAAGGCGCCGTGGCGTTCGATATGTGACTGCTGTGGTGTTGAATTTGAGCTCTAGTTACTCTGCTCGCGGAGATCTTTCCAGGAAGCCCAAGATTATTGAAATCCAAACGAACACCAAAGTTATGGCCAAAATCAGGTAAAGAATATGTCGCAATTGCAGTTGCATACAATTATCTGGATTATTTGGGGCTCCAAAGGGTTAATAAAATACCCTGCTGTGTTTGAGATACATAATACCACTATGAGTCGACCCACACCTGTAATATTGAGTTTCCTGACCTCCCATGCCCAGTAGAAGCTGACAATGGGAAAAAGTCATTTTGTGAATTTTTTACCGTAAGCCTGGTTTTCCCAGATTCTGGGTCTTATACTGTAAGTGCGGACATCAGCTTAGCCCCCAGTTTAACAATCCTACTGAAAAACACAAAGAAGGTCAGGAAACTTCAACCGTGCCAGGAAGCATCAATACTCGTCTACCGGCGAGCCTAAGCCACGGTATAGTTCCTCTAAGAAGGCCAGTTGTCATTACTTGCAACCGCGATTATCTCGTTCTGATCAGTGAGTGCGCAATTGACCTGGTTACCTCCGTTTCTCAAACATGATCTTAGACCATCCCATTTCGCCTGCAAAGCGAAAAATTACCATTGTTTTTTTGCTTGGGATTTAGGGCTTAATATCGAGCGAAATTGCGTAAATTCGAGGTGATTTTTCATCATGCCCATAAGTACGCTGTTGGGAACTTGGGTATCCCAATAACAAGCTGTGGGGTCGGCCGATAGGTCTCCAGGAGAGAGAAAAATATGTCTTCATCTGCCTTTATTATAATTAGTTGTTTCAAGGACCACAGCCGATAACCGCATGCATGGACTACGATGGACTATGCTGTAATCAGCATCTATACGAGAAAATGCGCAGAGCACACTTTTGCTGGAATCCTGGAGCAAGGGATGGCTTCAGTATAAGATTATTCATGCAGCCAACACAGTCGCCGCATCTTAACGGTGACGACATGGTATTTTTGCAAGTCTACGGTTAGACAGAGACCGTCTGTACAAAATGAGATGTGACGGATTTGATCGAAGCTGTTCACCGTTCGCAACACCATACTCCATAGCGAGGAAATTCGTTCTTGGGCTCTTGGGTAGATGTTGGCTCTCCTCCAGACAGCTGTTCGGCATATTGAGAACTCATCACCGGGGGTAGATAACGAACGAATAGTAGATAAAGTAATGAAAACATGTGTTGCTGTGAATGTGTGTGGGCCAAGAGGGCAGTGTGGAGTGATGGATTGTTTCAAAATTATCATCTCCTTACTCAGTTTATTTGCTGTTCTCTACTTCTACTGTGTATAGGGGGAAGTGGGAGTTGCATCAATATCAATGAATGCACATCTCATGTCGGAATTTGCAGTCTATCGGAAACTTGCATTGATACCCTCGGCTCATACATCTGCATCTCCAATGACGAAGGAGTACGACTCTTTGGACCCCTGATCACAACTGCACCACCGCCCACCACACCGACCACTGCACCCACCTCCTGCATGAGTGAGAGTTCAGGTAAGAAAATCACCAATTCAAGTGGTCAGTTCAACCAGCACTGCCCTATGCATGTGTATAATCTAGACAGTTCTGGATTGTACATGAAGACATTCGTAACCGCCCGAGCATACTGCAAGGTTGAATAGTCCACTACCAGCGATATCTTTGTAACCACGCCGAATACTTTCGAAATATTTATTATGATGAGACTCCATCACCAATAGGAAAAAGTATTTTCCCTACACAGGCGCTTGGGCTTCCTCCAACTTGATTTGACACTTGACTGACGACTGCCGTCCAGAGAACACAAGAAGTCCATCGAACCATCGTCCATCGTCAAACTTGCAAGAACGCACCACTACCTGCTCAAAACACAGATCACCCCTCATCAGCTGAGCTTGAGTAGGCTGTGGAAGACTGTGTGTGAAGAGCTCCAGTCATACAATTCTAGTATCTAGAGCAAATGATTCCCATGGAGTCATGGAAACAAGGTCACAGACTTTTCGTGATGTCAGTAGTGAGTCGGTCAAGTCTTATGTCAAGTTGGCGGAAAGTGCGAGATTCTGTGTTGGGTGCAAACACTTTTCTGATGTAATAATTGCTGAAGTCAGTACCACTAATATATGTTCCGCTCCACGTTACGGGAACGCTACACGTTACGGGAACGCTACACGTTACGGGAA